CTGCTTAATCGAAGAGAAAATAAATATATACTGTTATTGAATTAAAACAACTTGATAAAGTGCCTTGTAACATATAATCGTAACAATAAAAGGAAAGGAAAGCTAATGCAGAAGACAGTAAAAATAAAAATACGATCAAAGTAGCATCTTTTTGAAATCAGCAGAAACAGATATTTTCCTCAAACAACTAATGCTGATAAGAAAACAACATCAACAAACTTTGATAGGTAACCTTGCTGATATTTTCGAAGAGATGAGTTAACATAATCTAAGAATATTGGTAAAAAAAACAGAAGAGATGGTGACACTGGACACAGCATAGCAGAGTGTGCAACTTTTTCTTTCAATGACTCTTTCACTGTAGACGAGGACGTGAGAACAAGCGATTTGACCACTGCTTTACAATTCTATTTCTAATCACAACAAATTATTGATCAGATGCGCCTAGCAACATTAAAACCACTAAAAAGACAAACACAATAGCCCAAGAAAGAATAATCTCACAGAAACTCTACTGCTATCATCAGTAGCCATTAAGACATTCCGCTATAAAGAATCAAAAATCTTTCACAGTGCGCTCTAATCAACGAAGGAGGCTGGATAATACATGAATAGCACTACAAAACCATCAACAATTCATCAGAAATCAGTGAGCTCCATCAACTGTAAAAAAGCATTGCAAAACAGCTAGAACATCGGTGAATAAATGATGTAATCACCAAACCTCTGTGAGATATTGTCTTGAGGACGTAGGATATCTTAGATCAGCATTCGGCATTTTTCAGAATGGTTGAACGATAATGTGCTCTACAGATTAAACCCCCAACTCTCCAAATAGAACTCGATTAGCTCTATCAGATGTACACCAGAGACGTCCACCGCTCGCAGTCAGCCCGCTCTTCAGAGGCAAGTATGACTCATTTTGAGGCGACCGCGCCGCTGAAGGACATTAAGAGCGCAATTTTTCCGCTGGGCCGCCCATGCTTTAATGATACTAGCTGTTAAATTGTATTGCAAGAAATTTTTAAAAAAGAGTATACATCGAACGCTAAAAGTTAAGAGAAGGGATCTACTCGTTGACAGACTCATTATTTCTGAGATAATATTTGTTTTATTGCTCCATTTCATACTCATTTGTTATATTTAAAACTAAAATCTAGATCAATGTTGATCACAAGTCATCCTGATAACAAATCAGCCTAGCCTAAGACTTTATGAATTTCATTGTGACAAGCATAACACTTCCATTCACTTTAAACTTAAATTTGTGCAAAATATAACGAGAAAATAAGTTAAGATGGAAACGAACACCCTACATGAATACATACAGTGACGCTCAAGACTGATCTTACATCTATCAGATCATGTTGTGTTTTCGATACCGAAAGCAAAGTTCAAGGTATTTGGATATGATTTTTGACATAATGTAACGTACGTTTCATAGTTTACTTCGGCCAAGTATTAGCCCATGCTTTCGTAGGTTTGCTATGCCAAATAAAAAGACTGCCATTTATTTAGCTCAAAATCCATCGTACAGTTCATACAACAATCAACGTATGCTACAGAATAAAAGCCGTACATCTTACGATCTGGAAACTAAAAGCATATTACAATGATGTTGTTATTGTACAAGCCAGAAAAGCTTTGTTGAAACACTACGAAATGCTTCTTTCTGTTTGAGATCACAAAATGAAAAGTATTTTATTGTGTAAGATACATCGATTTTTGCATGAAGCGTATGATCTACTTTGAGCGCCACTTTTTGCACGGTTGTATCTTCCATAATTAGATATTATTGCATGATACTTTCAACATTATGTTACTCTTCTTACAAAAGTATTCAGAAATGAAACAGCATTTATAAAAAAATATCATAGAGTAACAAATATGAGAAAACAATCGGCGAAAAACTTCTTTTTTTTCAGTTACCGTTAGGGACGGCCGCTCCGCGCTTCTCAGGGAAGGGGCGCGAAGCCGTCGCGCCACTCAGTAAAAAGGCTTTAGAGCGGTGGCTGCCTCAGTCACTATTTCAAAGGCTAACATAACCATTTACACCGTCTCCGCCTCATTTTTCAGGCGCGGTGCATGTCTCTGATACCAATATCAACAACAACAAGAGCAATTATTGAAAGAAGTTGAAGAAGATTTGCAATCATAAGCATCTTCTTTACCATCATCAATGAATAAATGTTCAACAATATTACCAAGATCAACATCAGAAAAACAATCATTATCTGATTTAATAAATTAACCATCAATCATGGCATATATGGTTAGTAGTGAAAGAAGTAGTACAAGTTTATTTCAACGAATAACAACGAAAAAAAGATAACAAAATCTATTTCATCTGTTCTTGTTAATTCTAAAACAACAACAACAAATAATTCAATATCTGATTCAAGTTGTTTAACAACATCATCACAAAGTTCAGGTTAAAAAGAAAAAAATTTTTTTTTAATTTTTCTTCAAAGACAATGATATATACATAACAATTTATCAATAATTTTTCACTGAATAAAGAATCATAAACTCGTCATATATACTTCTGACATCTTTTCATTATCAATTAAAAAGATCTAAATATTTGTATCCAAAATAATGTTAAATAGAGGTTAATCTTTCGTTTAAAATTTTTGTTTAATACTGATTGGATATGTATGTAATATAGTAAAACTTCTATTAGAGGATATCTCCCTATTCTGAACTTGAATACTATTTTCATAGTTTCGATTGCTATCATAATCTCTCTTAAATGAATACATGTGGACTTTTCTCTTTCTTTTCTTCGTCAATTCTAACTAATGCACTAAAACTGGTTATTATTTATTCTATTCATGGCTTACTATAGGTATACATATCCAGCAACAATGATATCCTGATATGACCTTATTTTAAACAAAAAAAATTTGTATATTTGAAAAGTTTTTTTCTTCAAATAAATATATGACAAAATGTTTTTCATATTTATGGGTATTTTTCATTTTAGTTAAACATTCTTGATCATGTCTGCAAGTGGTTTCAATGTAGGTGATAACGATTATAGTACAGAATTGAGAAATTTCTGTTTTTATTTTTCACCCCAACTAGTTTCTTTATTTTTCGATTGCAAATTTGAAACAGAGACAAAACGACAGCCAACAATCAACTTCAAATGATTATTAATCAAGCTATATAAAATAAGAAAAAAGATGCTACAGCTCATCAATTAGAAGTAAATTATCGATTAAAACAGCAAGTTCATCTATTACGGAAGTCTCTTTGTAATGAAGTTAAAAAGAATGTTTGGGTTTTTTAGGTCTCGGTCAACAACAATGTAAATAATGTTTTAAAGACTTTTATTATTTGATAAAAAAAAAGATGTTTTATCGATATCATTTAATGAATTTGCTGTTTATATAACATTTATATTTAAACATATTTAAAGTAAAAAGAACTCATACTATCAGAGACGTACATTGCGCCTCAAAAACAAGACCGAGACGGTGCTAATGGTTATGTTAGCCTTTGAAATAGTGACCGAGGCCGCCACCGCCCTAATGCCTTTTTACTGAGTGGCACGGCCGCTCTGCGCCTCTTCAGTTGAGACGCGAGGAGCGGCCGCCTCAAGAGGGAAACAGCAGAGATATCAGTCTTGAAGTTTCGGGCGTCTCATGAAGTTTTCTGAAGTCTAATGAAGTCTTGTGAAAACTTTCAGGGGACCGCCTTCCCGGCCTAAAATTTTCAGATTTTTTGTTTTTCATTTTTTGTGATCAATATATAGAATTAAATGCTCTCTATCTAATGAGCACATTTTGAGAACTGAAAATCTACATTTTATATATGGAAAAATCGAGAAAAACAACAAAATATGCTGAAAAAAATCAATAAAATTGAACTCTTTTGCTTTTTTCGCAAAACTAGGTTTTTCAACAAAAAAACTGATGTTTTCCCCCATTTTCTCCCTCGTGGTATAACCGATCGGACTCAAAAGGTTTTTTATGAGTACTTTGATCAAATTGAGGTGTTTTTTTTTCTCTTGGAAATATCGTTCCTATGAATTTTTGATAGGTTGCACAAAATTAGCACCATTGAAAAAAAGCAGGTATTTTGATAGTGCCTTCAGTATTTTGCCTCTCCTGAGCTGTACCAACGAGATTTTTCGAAAAAAAGACGCACTTCAATTTGATCATAGTTACTGCAGAAAAAATTTCAGCCATAAAAAACGAAGTATGGATTTTTTGCGAGAGAAAAGGTCAGGTCATTTTAGGCCCTTGGACCTATAAATATCTTTGGAAAAGAAGCATTTGGAAATTTTGAGTCTATAACAACTATGGCTCTACTCATCGAGATCTATCTACCCTGAAAGTTTCATAACTTTCTATCAAGCCGTTCTCAAGAAACCTCGGAAAGAGGGTCCTCTTAAGCTACTGCTTTTAACATAAGATGAAGTCTCTTGAAGTCCGGTGAAGTCTTTTGAAGTCCCGTGAAGTCTAATGAAGTCTTGAAGTCTCATGAAATCTTTAGAAGTCTGAAAAATTTGAAGTCTCTGTGCTTGAAGTCTGCTGTTTCCCCCTTGGATGTATTTTTGAGAGTACGCTAAGTATTTTAGCCTTCATATTCGAATTGGAAAAGATAAAAGGAAACCAAAAGAAGGAGGCAATACAAACAATGTTCAGTATCTGTAAAGAAACAGTTCGAGTCTAACGAGCTCATTGCAACTGAGATAGCAGAGCGACTGTTAACCTTTGTAATCCACATATCTCCCAGGAGGAAACATTTTTGAAAGTTTAACTCTATGACAAGTTTTGGTTAACTCATCGAGACCAATTTACCCTAAATGCTTCACTGTCTTCTGATGCCTCGTTCCCCAAAAGAAGAAAAAGACATTATGATATCTTCTCTATTCATCGTTGAAAACTGCACGTTGCTAGCGGCTACCGTACTCAAGATATTCATCCTATTCTCATCTCTCTTTTATTGTGGTGCCGATATTATTCATTATTTTCAATTTGTTCAAAAACTTAATAAAGGCTTTTAAAGCGTTTATAAGCAGCACGTTCTAATGCTTCACGATGATCAGGATGAGCTATATCAATTAATAATTTAGCTCGTTGTTGATAGTTTTTACCAAATAAGTTCGCTACTCCATATTCAGTTACTACATAACGAACATGAGCTCGACTTGTAGTTACTCCAGCACCTTCTTTTAACTAAATATTAAAAAAACGAAAGAAAAAAAGCTAAGAATAAATATAGAAACTTACTGTACTAACAATACGTGAAATTCCTTTTGATGTTTGTGATGGTATAACAAGGATTGCTTTTCCTTTTTCACTTAATGCAGCACCACGCATAAAATCAATTTGTCCTCCAACACCTGAATAATGCATTGTACCTATTGAGTCTGCACAAACTTGCCCAGTAAGATCAACTTCAATAGCAGCATTAATAGCACACATTTTTGGATTTCGACGAATTTGTGCTGGATCATTTGTTATTCCAATATCAAGAACAAGTACATTTGGATTATCATTAACAAAATCATAAACTTTTCTTGTACCCAATATAAATGTACATGTTGTTGCACCAGGATGAAAAGTTTTATAACGATTTGTAACAACACCTTTTTCCATCAATGACACGACACCATCAGATATCATTTCTGATGCTATACTTAAATCTTTATGATCTTCAAGAGATTTTAATACACAATCTGGAATTGTACCAATACCCAGTTGAACTAAAATTAGAAAGCTTACATGCGAATTTCATAGTTATGCAAATAAAGTAATGAGAGGGAGTAATGTTGTTTGAGCAAAAGAAAAAGAAATCATAATTTTACTATGAATTGCATAAAGAAAGATTGAAATAATTCTTGGAACTTGATGACGGTCTGTCTAGTTGCTTGAATTCTGCATCATCAAAATTGAAAACTTTGAAATTTCTTTTACTCAAAATAAATACTTTATGAAGTCAAGATCTTCATTATGATGTTTGATTTATTACTTCAATAACCCTTTAAACAATGATGACCAAGACAACACCTTTTTTCTTCATTATGGTTTGATAGAGAAGATGATTTTCTTTGACAGGATTACGTTTCGAAAGAGTTTGACTTCAAAGAGGGATGAGGAATGAATTATTACTCTTTATAGAGATATTCAGTTTAGTTTATATAAACTACGATCGTTCTTTATGATGATGAGCTCTAAGAGATGCCTATCCTCTTATTCTATAGCATCCATTTTTATACTGATATTAGAAAGTAATTTGACAGTTGAAAATCTCTAATGTTCAATCTGCTTTGTGATTAAAACATTTAGTGGGCTTCGATCAGTCTTCTAAAAATACTAGTGAGACGAAAGAAAATGGAAGATAAAACAAGACTATGCCATACAATAGCGTTCATGTATTTTATATAGCACAATTCATTAGCTTTGATTATAGAGCAATGCATTCACAACCTTATTTTTCTCATTCATTATCCATCTATGCTAAGTGCTTGAAGAATATAAATAAATATGCATCGAAAAATCTTCAGCAATGTACTGTTATGATCTTTAGTTCTTTAATAAATCTCCTCTCTAAAAACCGTAAACGAATATATTTATGAATTCTTTCAATACTTACGCGTACTTCCATCATCAACTAATTCAGCTACTCGTTTTCCAATTATTCTGTCGATATCAGAAATTTCTTTTGAATAATCTAATTCAATCAGTGGTTCATCATATTCAACATACGCATCAATTTTATTCATATGTACAAATGTGTCACCATGTACACGTGGCATATTTCGATTTATTTGTGCAAAAATTTTTTTTGCATTTCGTACAGCAGCTCTTGTTATTTCAACCGAAGTACCAAGTGAACAATAACCATGTTTATCAGGTGGTGATACTTGTATAAGAGCAGCATCAAGTGGAAGAATATTTTCATCAAACAGACGTGGTGTTTCACTGAGAAATATTGGAATATATGATGCTGTACCATTTGCAATACCTGGTCGAATAAAAGCTGATGCAAAAAGACTATTGACAAAGAAGCTATCTTTTAGTTTTGGATCTGTGTATGTGTTATCAAAAGGAAGACCGCCAATTATTTCAACACGTCGAAGTTCATTAGCACGTTTAGCCAGCAGACGATTGAGATATTGAGGTGTACCACTGGAGCCTGATAATGATAAAAAGAGCTAAAGAATATTAATTATATCCATTGTGAATATCTTCATCAAGCGACTTTCACTTCTTTGTCATGTTCTAGATATATTTGATAGCTTTTGGTTAACTCTAGATACTCAAAATAATTATCCATCATAATAAATATAAAACTTCTTAACATTTCTTTTTGCTTAAGAAACCGTTATTACAAACGATGAAACTCTTCCAATTAATGACCTCTATCCGTATACATATTTTGCTGAATGTTAGGGTCCATTGTGCGCATAAAACTTCTAGCAATATACACATATATGTCATTAGAACTTTTCTCTTGAGTTATGACTGTTTTACTAAATTTTCACCTTATTACACTATATTGCAAGCAAAGTTAAATTGAAGAGTTTTAGTCTAAAATGTTACCTGAACATAGATCTCATAGTCTTTATAATATTCTGAAGATTTCGACAAAAACGGATACTTTTGTCTCAAGATAACACAGTTGCAAAACTGCTGGTTTTTCGGACAAGATCCTTTAATATTCGGTCTTTTTTGGATATACAATTACTTAAATAGAAAGCATCTGTTTTTTTCTGAAATTTTCAGGATATTCTAAAGACTATGAGATCTATCTCCAGGTAGAATTGTAGACTGAAGTCCCGTACTTCTGTTGTCTGCAGAGTAAACTACAGTATACTGAAAACTCACAAAAATTATCAGAACTGAAGAAGAAAACGCTAATGTTACATGTCATTTTAGAAATTTTATGTGTAAAATGGCCTCTAACGATTAATAAAATATAAGACTGAATAGAGGCTACTATATGAAAGTGTTGCCTCGTAAGAAAAAGAGAGAGCTGCTCTACTTTTATATTTTATACTTTTGAGATTCTTTTTCTCTGGATTTTCATTGTCTTGAGCTTCATCTTCTTCCAGATTTTACTCTTCGCTTCTGTTCTCTTTGAGCAGTTATTACTAATTCCAAATCTATATCTTACACATTGTGATAAACAACAATTCATAAGTTTCAAATACATATCTTATGTGCTATTCAGAATACTAATTACTTTATCACTAAAATTCGCTAACGGGACAAATTGACATAAATATCATTTATGCTTCGAGCTTAAATTCTTCTTCTTATACTCATTATGTATTGGAATATCTACAGAAAAAAGTGTTTAGTTCA